ATGAAGAGGGTGGAGTGAGGTCCCAAAAACACAGATAATAAGTGTATTACATGTTTTAAATAACAATCCAGTGTGGCGCTCCAATCTTTCGATCCAACTAACATACTTCTGCACACACTGTTGTCAGTGAAATTACTTGTTTTAACGGTCTAGCATAACATTTAAGGGTCTAGCATAACATTTCTTTTAGCATGCTGAAAGCCTGTAGCAAGTGTCCTGACTTGTTTTGGGGGAAAGGGAGACTTTTTCCTTAACAAAAAAAACACATCATTGTCAACTCAGGTTACAAGTGTATTCCTAAACCTCAACCTCGCCTACTAAGCCCTGCCAGATTCAGCCTCCAACAATTTGCACTATCCAACTAAAAGAAGCACAGTTAGCAGGTCTGAACTGGCCAAACTGATTAAAGGACAAGTGTACTCTTACTGACAAAATCTGCTGTGCCACAGCCAGCTGATGTGTTGCCAAAGTTTACGTAAATTAATACTTTTATAAAGCAGAAACAATTAGCAGCCTGGAGACATTGTTAAAATGGTCGTCATAACTAAAAATACCTATCTGACCTCCCCTTGCCCTCCTGATCTACTGTATAATTGGATTTACAGACCAGGGATGCAGGCAAATTAGGACAGCAAAGCAATACTTGCAAGTAAAAGTCACATTCATGAAGTTTATTACACAATTCAGCAAAACATAGTGTTTCAGAAGTATCATGCTATGTTCAAATTCTGCTGCTTTATAGACACCAGGCCTATGTTCTTGCCATCTCAAACCTTGCTTCTTTCAACTAATTTGGATGTGCGTAAATGCTAGGTGGCAGATCAGTTAACAGCTGAATGTCTCCTGCTGAGGCTAAATGTAGACTATGTAGTAGAATCTCTACAATTAATCCTCAGCAGGGGTGGTGTACAACTCTATGTTATTGCATTCTGAAGTCAAGGTGAGGTGAGGAGGCTCAATAAAACTGATATCAATAGTTAATATAAGTATCAATAGGTACTTGCAAATCATTTCTACACAATAAAAGATACAAGTAATTAATGTAAACAAATCAAATTACCTGAGCTAATGAGATTTACAGCAGGGAGTTCTTAATAAATGTAACCCATTGAAATGTTATTACTTGCAATACATTAAAACGGACATTAGATGGTGGTGGCCTGCCATTCAGGGTCACGCACAGGATAGAACAGCCCTCTGGAACTTGTATGCTGAATAGCAGGACTCATCTGGTGAGCAGGGCAGTCAGGGACTACATTTCCCAGGAAGGGTAGCGCATGGACATATTAAGATCAAAGCCTGGGAGATTGGTCAGGAGAGTGAGGGGAGAAATTGAAGGAGAAGGAGGTGCTGACGGCTGAAGTTATGAACTAGGCCATGGAGCCAGAGTTGGAGAAACAGGAAAAACAGAAAGAGCCTATTGACCATCTAGTCTGCTACTCTGCTCAGCAGGCCGATCTGACAGCAGGACACCGAGTCTGAGCCTGAGAGTCCGTGGAGTGATCCCATTTGCAGAGAAAGACAGACCAATACAATCTCTTCCTAGGAAGGCCCTGGAGAGGAGGGTTGTTGAATCTGCCTTTAGCAAGCCATTGGCTTTGCGGGATTGCCCAGGCCCTGTTTTGATTTCAAGACACTTTTTCTAGTTAGTATAGTAGTCCATTACTTCACGTGGAATGCACGGTGTCAGGTTTCCATTCGCAAAAAATTCCTTCTTGACGAGGTGGTGACTCATCATTCTGGGTGAGGTTGGGAAGATTCGGGTTCTTGAGAAGGACAGAAGGCGGCTGGGAGCCTGGACAAAGGTGTGGAGGAACATCAGGTCCCCATAACTGCTGTATGTCAGTCTCTGGGTGCATGGCTTCTCTTTATTTCACATCCCTAGATTTTTGTAAGATCAGATTTCTGGAAAAAGGCTGTATGCATGGGTTAAATGTTTAATCATTTCTTAGCCTCAGGACGTGTTTAAGTGAAGGTAGGGTCTGTTGAGATATATTATAAAGATAATAATATTTAATATGATTAGTTCTGTTTGTGTTTTTTCCTGGCCGTTTCCTGTTTTCTATGTTGAAATAAGCAATTTTGTTTAATTATATATATACATATTTATATTTTATTTATTCTGTATATATGTAAATGTTTTTATTATGTTGTTTGTTTGTGAGATTTTTAATAAACATTTATATGTATAAACAAAAGTATTAACATGCCTTGATCACGTTTGCTTGATGCATGTTTTAGGTGTGTTGCATGTGTGGTTGTCTTAAAAAAAACCCTGCTTGCTGCTTGTCTGGTGTGGTTTCCAGCACAGTGCATGTTACATAGGAGTCAAATGCACCCTATGAACGGCATGTTTAAAACGCACAGCATGCACCTGTGCAACACGAAAAAGAAAGCATAGGTATGAACTGAGGGTATCTTGCACTGCACACCACAGCAAGCAGAAAGTGACAAAATCAATAGTAAACATTTCTCCTTTTACCGCCTGCAAGTCAAATAAAAGATTTGAGCCTGCTGCCCTCCAATATTAGTACACATTTTTGTTACTAGGTAGAAAGGTTTCAGATTTGAATTTGTTTTCAGATGAAAGCAGATAGCCCCCTTTAAAGCAGAACTATACCTTCATATCCTTAAGCGGAAATTTACCCAAAACCACATGATAAAAAATAATGTTCTTTAGCAAGGAACATACATTTCACTTTAGTAATTATGCTACCAAAATTAGTGCGTGCTGTAAATTACCTCCAGCATTGCTTCTGTTTCTTCTTGATAGAGGCTGCCATTTTGCTGAAGCCCAGAGCTCCTGAACATCAGTAAATCATAAAGTGGAAGTAAACCCATTGATTTAACAGTTTAAAAAAACAGTTATATTGCTTAATAAACGGCCGGACGGTGGCAGTGCAGGGTCGGGTGGCCATTTATAAGCGGCCTCCCCGCACCCTGCTTGTGCGTGCTCCCTGGGAGCATACAGCACCGTGATCCGGTGCCCGCTGTGTCCTCCGGACACAGTGGAACACCGATCGTCGGACGGGACCTCTGTACGAGGTCCCGATCATGTGATCACTGATTGGCCAATCAGTGATCACATGCAAAGTAGTAAGCAAGATGTCACTTGTGACATCATTGCTTACTACGTGTGAAATCTGTGAATGATCACAGAGGTCACATGGTATAAGGCTATTCACAATAGCCTTGTACCATGTGGCAAGCTGTGACCAATCACAGCTCACTCAATAGTTCTCAATGGCTGCAAGATTGCAGCTAGAGAGAAGGAGAAATGATTGAAAAGCAATCAATGTAAAAAAAAAAAAGAATCTTAAATCACCCCCCACAAGTAGTACAGTGTCACCATGGTGACACTGTACTGCTAGGGTGACAGTATGTAAAAAAATAAATAAAAAAAAAATAATATAAGAAAAAGTAAAAAAAAAAAAGTAAAAAAAATTTTGGCCAAGATTTATGATGAAATACTATTTATTTGCAAACTTTTATAAGAAAAACACTTTTTTTTAATTTTTGGACTTTTTAATTTACATATCAAAAAAAATAAAAATCCCAGTGGTGAATAAATACGACCAAAATAAAGCTTTATCTATCTCAAAAAAATGCTAAAAAATTCATAGGGGTACAGTGTTGCATGACCGTGCATTTGTCATTCAAAGTGTGATAGCACTGAAAGCTGAAAATTGGCATGGACAGGAAGGGGGTAAAAGTGTCCGGACTGGAAGTGGTTAAATGTCGGGTTTACTAACTGTAAAATTTGCTTGTGTTCTCAACCAAACTGTCAAACTATTAAATGGCTAGTATCATAACTGATCACATGTGCAGGCGCCATGGTAGTTGCAAGTCAAACAGAAGCAGCTTCCGTGGCTGTAAATAATAGGAGGGTTTAATTCCGTTTTAAGGCTGTCAGCAGATCGGCCTCTAGAAATTTGCAGTGCCTAAAAATTCCTAAAAATGGAAAGCAACTGAGCATGTGAAGAGCAGGGTGAGGCAATTTATTACTGGATTTTAAACAGTATGGTCACTTATTTTTAAAGGTTTACATAGCTATACCTTCAAAAGGGGCCAGCCTGAAGTAATCTAGCAGGACTTAATTTTCTGACTAAAGTTCCACTTTAACAGCCGAGGAAACTGACAATTTAGCCTCTTTTGATCTGCAGTTGCCATGTTGCTGCACATGTGATCAGTTATGACACCAGATGGTTTGCCAGTTTGCAATTGTGACAACTATTATTCATGGCATGATTTGAATGTAACTGTTTTAGGAAACAGTTAAAGCGGAACCAAACCCGTTAATTTAACAGTTTCAAAAAACAGTTACATTCCTGTCATGTGTGGAATGTAACTGTCACAATTGATTGTGGTAGCAACCAAACGGTCAAACCATCAACTGGTGTCATAACTGATCACATGGACAGCACCATGGCAGTTGCAGATGAAACCGTGGCTAAGATGGTAGCTTTCTTGGCTGACAAGGATAGGTGGGTTTAGTTCCACTTTAATTTGAAAATTTTAGCTCCACTTTAACCACTTGCCTACAGGGCACTTATACCCCCTTCCTGCCCAGGCCAATTTTCAGCTTTCAGCGCTGTCACACATTGAATGACAATTGCACGGTCATGCAACACTGTACTCAAATGAAATTTGTATCTTTTTTTGAGACAGATAGAGATTTCTTTTGGTGGTATTTAATCACCTCTGGGTTTTTTATTTTTTGCCAAACAAACCAAAAACAACTGAAAATTAAAAAAAAAAACATTTTTTTCTTCGTTTTTGTTATAAAATTTTGTAAATAAGTGACTTTTCTCCTTCATTGATGTGCGCTAATGAAGCTGCAGTGATGGGCACTGATAGGCTGCACTGATGGGCACTGATAGGTGGCACTGATGGGCATTGACAGGCATCACTGATGGGCACTGAAAGGCAGCACTCATATGGCACTGATCGGCAACACTGACTGGCACTGATAGGCGGCACTGATAGGAAGCACTGACGGGCACTGATAGGTGGCTCTGACTGGCACTGATTGGCGCACTGATAGGTGGCACTGACTGCATTGATAGGTGGCACTGATTTGCACTGATAGGTGGCACTGAAAGGCAGCTCAGATGGGCACTGATATGTGGCATTGATGTGCACTGGTAGGCACTAATATATGGCACTGATGGGCACTGGCAGGTGGCATTGATGAGCACTGACAGCTGGCACTGCTGGGGCTACACTGATCATCAGGGCACACTGATCATCAGTGCCCTGATGATCAGTGTACATGTTCCCTCTGAGGAATGCTGATTACCGGCTCTCCTCTCCGCACGAGCTGTCAGCGTGACAGCTCATGAGGAGGAAAATGCCGATAACCGACATTTCCTTATTTACATGCGATCAGCTGTGATTGGACACAGCTGATCACATGACCAAGCCGATGTCTTCAGCTCTTTCGATTGATTGGTGATTCACTGTGTCCTAGGGACACAGCGCACCAACGACTGCCATGTTGCGTGCCCACGGATCCACGCACGCAAAGTTGGAGTGGAAGGACGTCATATGACGTCCTTCCAGAACGACAGAACCGCCTTGCGCCCGTCATTTCCTTATATGGCGGGCGGGAGGTTAAAGTCAATTAAATATATTTGGGTATGAAGCAAAAATCCCATGTGAACTAAAATGATTATAGGTAATACGTTAAAGGGGTCATAAAGTCTTATGCCTAGTACACATGATGAAAATATCGACAAATGATCGTCCATTTTTTTGCATGCTAGTCTCATATTGAAAACAAATAGGTTACTAAAGTTCCAAAAATTCTCTTAAGACAGAATACCTCTTTAGAAGTGATGTGATGTATTATATTGTATTGTAATGTATTCTTTTGTTTCCAAGCATGTGCGTTCTTGGTCACTTGATTTGTTTTCGTACAAATACTATACTAATTACACGAAAATTGTTTGTTCTGTTATCTTACAAGAACATTTTTCGTGCTTCTCCCTTTGGATATTTTGCATGAACTGTTTTTGCATTAAAATAATAAAGCCTTCTGTGTCTAGGATCCCCGCCCCCCATGATACTTACCTGAACCCCATCTCAATTCAGCACCTGTGCATGACAGCAGCGGCTCTCCCGACTCTGTGCCACCTCACCATGCAGATCGATGGCTCACGCTGCTTTAAACCAAACTGTAATGAGGGAACAGGGGGAGGGGCCGTGTCCGCTGTCTGTGTCTACGAACGCAGGCAGTATGGCTCTGAAGCAAGCCTGCATAAGTGTCCCCATATGAAGCAGTTTCCTATGGGGGCACTGGAAGAAGAGAAGGAGTCAGGAGCTTAACAATCACTTTAAGCATACAAAATTACAATAAAACATGATTAGAAAAGACTTTAAAATAAAATTAGGCAAATATCACAAGAAAAGAAATGACTAAGTAAATAAGACACAACAATATGAGAACATTAAGGACAAAAGATGTATGAAGGGGATATTATGTCTCACAAATCAACCATGCACTGGAAAATAATTTGTGTTATAAAGGTTGACTGAGCTATTGCACAGATCTAGACAAAAAGGAGGTTTGTTTTATGCCTCTAATCTGTAAGTGAAAATACATTTCTTGTCATATGGCATTATAAATGTCAGGGTGAAACTGTCCTTCAAGGCTGTGTCTTTGTATATAGCCTGTGCACAGTTAAGAATTTGCATATAATAGGGTCAAAACACTAAAATGAATAAGTTATTATACCACCACTTTGTTTTTATCTCACGATAACTTTCTCCTAAAAATGTTCAGGTCACAAACTTAAATGTCAACGTGCCCTGAGCCTATTGCATGAAAAGCACGAATCTGTGATGATGAAAATTTTGGAGTTACAACAGCTGACTTCAGCGGTCTGATAAGCTCAGACAGGTTACAATCACACAAGGTCTAAAGCATTACAAAAATACAAGGTTTTCAACAGGCACAGTTTAAAGGGTGCACCGAGCCATATACTGCAGTGTAATCACACCGGAGTAACCAAAAGGCACCCACCTGCTCCAGAGTGCAATAGAACAGTAGACCAATGTTATGGCAGCAAAGGTACAGACCCACAAATAACAAAAACATAATATATGAGCAGAAAGATAGGCAAAAAAAGGGAAGGAAGGGAGTGGACAACTACAGTCATTCACAGTAAACAGGGGGTCATATGTGCTGCAACCTAATTAATCTTGTTATATCCAAGTGCAAACTGGAATTTCTCCTTGAGGCAGTGAGAGGACATTTAGAAAATAATCCTTTCATAAGATACTACTCATTCAGTAGTTCATGAGAGTAATAAATTCACCCAACCCAAACACCATGAAACTTCTCCAGTGTATTATGCGCTGCATGAACCCAGCGTTCAGCCTCCATAATCTGATCCACTTCCCTCTTCCAGTCAGCAAGAGTTGGGCAAGTCATCTCTTTCAAAAAGTCTGGAATCAAACATTTAGCAGCATTAAGCAAATGCAGCATCACGCTGTGCTTATATGCTTTAAAGGAAGAGGGAGTATCATGGAAGTGACAGTGGAGGGGCATAAGCCTAATGGGTCCCAGTGTGGTCTTCTGAATGAGAGGGAATAGAATCACAAAATTTCTTAATCTTGGGGCAAGACCATGGTTCAATGTTTTTTTTTTCCAGAGAGAAATTTAATGGGCTCAGAAACAATCCATAAGACAAAAGGTACAGACAAGGCAGATAACAGGGTACTTAGAATATTCATGCAATTATCAGACACCTTCAAAAGGACCCACTTTCTCCTGTCAAACTTAACCAAAAGAATCCTCCATAATATACACATTTTCTCCATTCAATAACAATACAAGCACTCTGATTGGCCTTGGACAGCTGCAGTCATAAATTATAATAAACGGTTGTCCAGATATTTCCTAAACTGCATTCTTTTACCATTAATTAGATAAACAAGTTACCCCTTGAAGAATGCTATTTACCATACTTAATACCCCTTTTCATGTATTAGATATTAGATGCTGGCCAAGTCATTTCAAGTCTGACTGAGAAATCTGCATTTTATCACCCTTGCAAGTTTGCATAGTACCTCCTTTGAAATGGCCCCCAAGTGCCAAGGTGACCTTGCATGAACTTAACATTAACTGAATATATTATATATATATATATATATATATATATATATATATATATATATATATAAATTACAATATCCTACACTGACTTTTAAAGACCCTGTCTGGGCTTATTTAAAACATCCCATCCATCCCTTTTCTCACCCATTCACAATTAAAAAAAAAAAAAAATCCTAACTCTTTTTTTTACTCACTTGATGTGACCTCCTGGCAGATTCTTCTGGGAGTAAAGATTAGTGATCAACTTATGAAATCCAGGCCTAGAGAATCACCCCTCTCAACAGTCATGAATTCTGCAGGATTGCCAAAGATTTTGATAAAAATCCCACAGACCCGCAGATCCAAGGACTGTCCAGCAACATTTCCCTGACCAGAATCACTTTTCTGCACATCGGTGCAGGGCAGAAGAAATGAAAACCAACATCAATTACTCAGCCATTTAATAACTGTACTCTGTCAGCCAATCAAGAGGTTCTGATACTGTCATGTGACGTTCCAGTACATTACTGATTGACTGCAGTTCTAGAACTTTTGAATAGATACAAGTTAGAAAGATAAAATGCACACACTAAACAGCTGACTAACTGCTGATTAATTGATTCATTGAAATGGCCACAGACTGAACACAGGACTCTGTGACAAACACAGTCCACAAAGAAAGCATGCTGTACCACGTATTACCTGGGAGACTAGGAACTGGTGCTCTGGCCCAAATGCCTTTGAACTGTAGCAATAATCCTCTGATACAATGAAGCCTGCTACTTGATAATATGAAACAATTGTTTAATGGCTAATAAGCAGGATACAGCAGTAACACGCTGGCCAAAAAGGGTCAACACAACATGCAGGGACTGACAGAGGGAAACAACTACAGCTTTACACACTACAAAACAAACATTATTATTGGCAAGTGTTCCTACCAAATTTATCTGTGTGTACACATCTGGCAAGACATACATTGTACTCTGTCACTCTATATGTACAGTACACACGTGACAGGATTTTGTTTCTTTATTCTTTGGGTTTACGTGACACTTTCATTTGCAGCAAGTAATTAGTTTTCATGCACACAGAGCTTTAGCAAGTATTTGTTTTATTATTTTAGATATATTATTACTGCAATTTCCCGGCACATTCCCATGGCAAGGAATCTGTCTGTGTCGTATACAGCCTGCCATGCATGTGAATGGCTGTATGCAGCTGAGCTGTTGTAAACGCTATTTCTTCTTTGCATGTGCGTTTATCCGTTCTTTTGCATTCAATATGTTTTCAAGTTCACAAGCACAGGAAAGAGCGGATGAAAAGAAGAATCACATTTATCAGCTTGGACACAGAGCCATTCACCTGTATGGCAGGTTGCATTCAACAGGTACAACTACTCCGGCATGGGAAAGCCCTGTTAAAATCCAATGTGCATGAACCCTAATATAGTATGTTGTGGGTATAAGCACTGCAGACTGTGTATACTGTATGTAGGTTTAGATTTTATTTAACCATGCTGCTTTAACCTTGCCTAATATGCAGTGCAATTTTCGCCATGCCCATTTTTGTTGCAGTGCACTCTGCATGACGCTTATTTTCTCTATCAAAGGGCGTCCCTCATTCTTAAGTTACAAAGTTGGGAGATACGTCATTATGTGATGTCATCACGTTAATGGGCCCTGTGAGAACCGTGCCACTTGACAGCAGACAGGAAATGTCCACACAGAATAATGTCTGGATTGACCTCTATTTCTGCAAGGTCCTGTTGTCCAGTGAGTGTCCACCAATGTTATTTTGTGGCGGTTGGTGTCCATCACACATCAGTAGACTTTTGGACATGGGTTTTTTCATGTCTTGAAGGGCCAGTACCTTGGACTTTAGGATTAGACTTTTAAGGATTGTTATGGTGAATATGGTCTTTTGATTTGAGTGATTTCTTTCGCAGTGCTGAAATTTACAACATATTAAAAGGCAACAATGAGGACACCCAAGAGGGAGCCTTCAGCTCTAAATTTTCAGAAGAAAGACAAAGGACCCTATGCATCACATCACTGCAGACTGATGCAAGTAAAAGAAGCATTTACATAATTTTTTTGCCTTTTTTTAGACTTTTTTTCCTCTGTTTTCATCTGGTGATCTGGTCAGTAACAGAATGCCTGTATTGGAGTGCCTATATCCTCTAATACAATGAAGCTGGCTAATCAGTAACATCCATTGCAACAATTCTTTATTGGCTACATGGCAGGATTCAGCAGTAACACGCTAACGTGTTTCGGACAAAGTCTACCTCATGGCATTATGCTCTGGATGGAGGAGT